GCTAGAAAGAAAAAAAAACCAAATAATAATAATAATAAACTTTGAAACGTTTCCCACAGTACGTAACGGGTATTCATTTTTCGAGTCTACGAGGGTGAGCGACGCGCAAACAATCGACACCGTACGCACGATGTTAACGCGCGCGCGCGTACCGCATATTATTATGCATACGTATTTTCATGATAATTTATCGTGCACACGCGCTTCCACAATTACGCCGCCGCGTGCAACCATCCCTGGGGACTCGCGTCGTACTACTGCCATCAGCTGTCCACCACCACTGCACAAGCGTGCATAATTGTTGTACAACGGATTTCGGAAGTGGTATGAAAAATCATTTCGAGTCGGATGAAAAAACAATCTTTTGTCGGAGGCTTATGGACGGGTTGAAATTAATTCGAAACATCCACTGATCAAATAACATTAGTTGTTTACAGTGAGTTATGATTGTTGTATCGTTAAAATTTGAACGAAAAAAATACACGTGTATATTGTAAAGCGCATCTGTCGAGTGATAATTTCTTCTCGATAACTATAACCCTAAAAATATGAGAATTAATTGTAAAAAAATAATTAAATTTGTCTTTCGAATATTTATTGAAAACTGTATTAAAATATCGATCCGAGAGGTTCGGTGAATAATATGGAAGAAATTTTGGCTTTTTATTTCGTCGTGAGTAACCTGCAAATAATGTAAACGTAATTTTGTTATATACCGCTACAACTTAGAAATCTATAAGTAAACGATCATGAAAAAATACAATTCCAAAAATATATTACCTAAATAACAATACTATGGTAAATAGATAATATGGAAATGTCAAAATGATTTTATATTCGAATAAATAAATTAAAACACGCGCGCATTCGTATCATACGCTAAATTATATTTTCGGAAAAAATATATTGTAGCATAATGTGTATGCAAATTTGCCTTAAGGCGTCGACTTGTATTTTATTTGATGAGGCAAAGAATACAAATTAATTATTAATACCATCCATTAAGTAAGAACAAAATAATGACAGATCACATGATTATATATAGTAAGATATAGTAGATTTTATATAGTAAATTCAACCATCAAAACGTTAAATACAAGAACGAACCACCCCACATTGAACCATAAATTTAAGAAATGGAACGAAATAAAAAGAATTTAAAAAGTATATGCTAAATCTAATTTTTGAGATTTGATAGTAGGTACACATGTTTATCAATTAATTATTACTATCTAACATGTAAGAACGTTATTATTGTACCAACAACAATTATCTTCATTGCGCGCTTAATTGAATACGATACTAAAGTATCGCATTCAAGTAAAGTATATATATATATTTAAGTACTAAAGTTATTGTACACTTGTATTCATTCGTTGATAGGTGAATTGCTTAAAGTATTACCTAATTACTTTACCATCAACCATAGTTATATAAAAATTAAATTAACATTTAATAAATTTGATACTACAAATAGTTTCAATTTATTTATTTGTTTTATAACTTTTCCAACTTCATTTTTTGTTGAACTAAAACTCGACCCCTAATAGTTGGGAGAAAGACGAAGAAAAGAAAAAGAAGACGATTTTTTATTGAACTATTTGAATTGTCTCTTTTTCAAAAATAAATTGTATTGGTCGGCAATAATGTATTGATGAAGTATTTTTATTTTCTCAAACAATACTAATTAAGGTATTAATTGTAGTACCTATTAGTTTCAAAGGCACTAAAGAAAATAAAAACCAGTTTGCATCACATTTTTATTTTCTACAACAATCTGTTTTTTTATTTTCTGACTTACTAAAATACTTTTGATGGTATTCGGAATGCTCCGAATTCCCATCTCATCTCCATTTAAAAAATGTTAATCAAATCGTATAAAACCTTCAAAATCCTTAATATTGAAATAACCAATATTTTATAATAATTTTTTAGTAGTGTGATTAGCTAAATCTTGTAGTGGTATATTTGCACTGAATTCATTTACCTCAATATTGGTTGGATGACATTTTCTTTTTTCCTCTTATATTTTATCATACAAAGGATATATATCAGCGTTTCTTTGTTCAGCACCTTTTTTAACATTATATAACTTTGTTTTGTTAATTTAGCATGCATTATTAATACTAAAAGTCTCGTCTACAGTATAGTGATAATTCGCAAATTTAAAATTATTTTTGTATGTTATACTAATTTTTAGAGCACGTTTTAGAGAAATTATGTACATTGTTTTAATAGGTCAGCTCTAGCATAATTATTATAGACTAAATAAAGCCATGGTAAAGGAGTTAATAAAAGAATTGAGTCCTTACCTAACAGATCAAAAGTGATCATCAGATTTAGATTCTACAACTATGGTAAGTTTAAATAGGTACCTACTTAATAAATGATATTGATATATGGTAGTCAAGGATTTCAATTCATATGTAATGTCTTTTAAATTCTTATAATTTTAAATTTTGATAGCCATTGATTTTTATACTACTGATAGCTACCAAACCCTAGTTGGCAACATTAAATACTATTGTTTAAATCATAAAAAAAATTAAATATAGTAATGAACGAATACCTATTATCATTAAAAACAATTGTTATTACTAAGATAACGATAAATCAAACGAGGTTATACGACTACCGCATTTTCGTACGACGATACTGTAGTATGCTACAACTAATTGTCGAATAGTGTTCAAGAATAGGTAAAAACAGATAAGAAAAATCGTTTACGATTATGCCATACGACTGTCGTCGTATACTATTAATTTTCGCTTGCATATCGAATGAATTCAAAAATCGACCCCCTGTGGTCTGATACGGTCCAGTAATGCTGGTACAGTGATGTTACAATATGAATGTATTAGTTATAAAATCCTACACATCGAACATTACTCCACGCAATGTTTGTATACATACAGCTGTAGATATATTGTACGAGGAATACCATGGTGGTTCAAGAAGGGGACTCGAGTTCAACCGCCAAAATCAACCCCTTCATCGACCATTTTACCCATCAACTAACCATTTAGAAACACATACAGGATTATAAGGGAGAGTTTAGCACTCCTTCTAGTTTTGAATTTTAGCATTTTTAGTTTATTTCTAGAAATAATATTGATATATAAGATATATGTCGATGGTCAAAAGGCCAAGTATCGTAATCCACAAAAACATAATTTTACAATAAACACTTTAAACTTTTTATTTACCTATATAATCATTTTTGATCGTACTTATCTAGTACGTATTTATTTTTTCTGTGATACCTGGGAATCAGTTTTCTTAAGAATTTAAAATTTATAATAGTTATTTGTATAGTTAAATTAGTTTTATTTATGACCTAGTCGAGGGTTACAGAGTTTGACCACATAATATTTATGATTGCATTATTAATAGTATTGCTTTGTATTAGGGTTACTGCATTTGACATTGATATATTTTGGTTACAGTATGTAATAGTTATTTAAATTTAGATCAAACATTATTGTTTCGTAAAAATGTTTACGATATCTATTTTTAAAATGATAAGCTAGTGGATAAAGTAAATTAAAATGTAATAATAATATTATTTTGATACGGCTATTCAATATGCGAAATCATCAACCAAAGAATAAAACTACTCCCGAAAAACTTACATACGTCATTAAAAATTTACCACTAATTTTTTAATTGTCACACTACTGCAGAGCCAGTACTGTCCGTTCATATTTGTTACCAGAAATGAAAAATCTTACGTAAAAATTAAGTTTTTATAAATATTATAATTTACAACATTACATATTTGTGTTAATTATTCAATAATTTCATATTAACAATGTGTTATTGGTGTATACACCAATAGGTATACCTGTTTCATATACGAACAAATTTTGAATATTAATTGATTAACATTTTAGGTTTCAGCATGTAGATTACAACAATGTGGCATAATGAAGAAAAAAGTCTCAAGGCTTACGTTTTCTTATTATAATATTTTTATGTGGCTTACAGCATTTGTTACTATTTATCATTATGGGTTACGACGTTAAAAAAAATTATAAATATTAAAATTGTAGTAGTTAAATAATATGATGGGTTACAACGATTGGTTAATCACAAGAAAATTACATGAAATTTAATATTTCATAATAATCCCATTTTCGACCAAAGTGAGGATTACGACAATTGGCCTTTTGACCATCAATATTATATATATATTAATAAGATATATTTTATAATTTTTGCTTCGCATTGTTTTTCTTTCGCAGTTTTTATTAGTAGTGATCAAGGTTCGAGTTTTAAAATTACTGAAATTTGCATTATAATATAATCAGAAAACCCTTAAAATATGCCCGAAAAACATTAAAAATTGCAACAAAAAAAAAAATGCCAATCAAAATATAAGAATAAATTATAAAAGTGTTTGGATATCATTGATATTTGATATTCAAATCGTTTGGAAACGTATTTTTTAAATTTTTATTATTTATTTTTTTTTTTAGTTAGTAGTCTAACTTCTTTGAACATATATATATAAAAACTTAAACGAATAATTTTAGCCTAAACTTATTTTGAAGCGTCGTATTTAAGGTTTTCGGTTACGCGATGTTGCACTGCGCAGTTTTAGGTCCCAACCCCACCGCGAAACCGACGTGACGAACAGACGGTCGTAATGCTAGCCGTACTTTGTATGTTTATGCGTGCGCAGATTTAAAACATTTAACGGTACGGCCCCCGTTCACGGGTACTGTCACCCCGTGCGCGATAAAATCCACGCGAGAAAAACCGGCGGAAGCGCGTGGACGGCCGTTAGCGACGGAGATTTTCGCACACAGTGATTTTTATCCAGTACCCACCCTCGACGACCCGACACTTGGCACGCGATCTCCACAATGCAGTTGCCGCGGCAGCTGCAACGGCGGCACGGTGGCACGCGCCCCCGACAGCCGACGGCACAACGGTACATATCTCCGCTCGCTTTGTATTGTTATTCCGTCATTGTCGTATGTGCACGTACCCCGCAACCGCCGTGGATCCGAGAGGGTCGCGGGGCGCCCAGCCCCCTACACCCGTCGACGGTGGCCGCAACCCGATTGGTCGATGGAGCGCCCCGTACGCGTATAACAGCACTCGGTTAGCACACGTTCGCGGACACACCGCTGCCGTCGGAGCGGCACGTACCGCAGTCGCGACGCGCGCCGCTAGACGGTATACACCGCCGGCATCGGTCTCAGTCACTCACCGCGACAACAGTGGTGCGCACCCACAGTTGCCGGCATCATTGGACGAGAGTCCGTTGCGCGATGTATTAACACAACGATTTTGATTATTATTTTATTGCGATCGCGCTACCGTTAACAACACATCATCACTTTTTTACTACTACATTTATCTTATACGTCAGAGGCGCGCCATGACCGATTACGCGCAGGCAGCGGCGGCCGAACCGTCGTGGACTTGGTGGATGACCAATGCGGCAGCGGCGGCCATGCGGATGCGAAACCTCCGGGACCATCATGCCGGCAGCGACGCGGTGGACGACGAGTTCGTCGGACCGAACAGGAAACGACAACGAGTTGGCCACGTCAAGGGTGAGTATTGGACGAACGCTTTCGGTGATGTCGACGATGAGCACGAGAGCGGGTCGCCGACAAATGACCTGACGGCCGCAGGACCGTTAGACTTGTCCGTGAAAGCCACTGTGGCCGCACGAATAATCGACGGGCTCGGGGGCACCGGTGGCCGAGACGAGTACAAGCCCTGCACGACACCCGTTAAGAAGCACACCAACAGTACCACCAACGGTAAGTCGTCGAAAAAGGCGTCCAGCAAAACGACGAACGGTGGCGGAAACCCGGCCGCGGTAAGAGCGGCGACCCGGAAGCTGCTGCCGCAGCTGGACCAACGTGTAGACCGGTCATCTCCCGTGTCCGGCACGATAATCGTGCCGGCGTCACCGGAGGACTCAAAGAACGTGTCGTCGCATCAGACCACGAACGCGACGACGGACTGCGGTGACGGCGACCGGGACGACGACTACGAAGGGGCTGACATCGATCCCGAGTTCAACGTCGTGGTGGCCACCGACGAGGCTCGCCGCCGCTTGGAGAGCATACCGAACGCGCTCGGCCCATACCGGTGCCGGCTGTGCAGCGTCCAGTACGTGGACGCGTTCGCGCTGGCCCGGCATCGGTGCCGGTGCATCGTGCACGTCCGGTACCGGTGTCCTGAGTGCGACAAGGTGTTTCAGTGTCCGGCCAACCTGGCGTCCCACCGTCGATGGCACGGCACTGGAAGCAACGCGAAAACGCCCGGCGGTAACCGCAACACCAAGAGCTTCAACGACAGCGGTGTCAAACCCGAGGTGGCCGCGGTCAGCGATACCGATGATGCCGTCGCCAACAGTAACACAACGACGACGACCACCACCACCATCTCCACCACCTGTACCGCCGCTTCTGCGTCCGCTATAACGACAGCGGCAGGGTTCAAAAAAAATATGCTGCAACGAGCTGCACAGGCCGCAGCAGCGGCCGCTGTCGCCAACAACAACAACATCAACAACAATACCGTCATCGATAACGGCAACGCGTAAATCGACAACCGCATCGTCGTCAACGGTATTAAAAAATATTTTCATTTCTCTCTATACGCATTGGTATTATGTTATCGGTATAATCGATCAAATTGATTGACGCACAGTGTTGATAAATTAGGTTTATGAACCGTAATAAACGGACTAACATCTTGACATTTTTATGCACTCGGAAGCCCCACGACGGTTTACCATTTCGATAAATAATATTCCCATCACTATCCCGCCACTACGGAACAGTAAACATTCATAAAACGTCCTATTTAAATGTACAAGAATCGGCAACAATTTGAAAAATATTCTAGTCAAATAAATGGCTCTAATAGTTTTACTAGTTTTAGTCACTTTATGCTCGTGTTATGCAATATTCGTGTACGCTGCGTGTAAAACATATATTCTGGTCATAATACATACGTGTACACGTACAGTAGTTGACAAATGTAAATACATTTATACCTATAAATATACGTACACTTATACCTACGTTCAGATAAACGATAGGGCTTTTTTTAACCCGTGGACATTTTTAGTATTAATAATCTAGTCAAAATTATCTAAGACATCAAGTCAGTTCGTAATTTTCGCGCAGTTATATGTAAATTGTATTCTAGTCAGTATTTATACTTTTGGAATCGCGTGAGATCTCATATATTAAACACGCGCGAGTTTCGTAAGTTTCCGTTTTTCGAATCGTAGATATTACACATACTTATAAATCATAATAATAATTTCTTCTAACCCAACCTGAGTAATTATTATTTTTTCCGTACACTTCAGTTAAGTTGTTCAGTACGACTCGGGAGCGAGCGTTCAAGTCGCCACGGCTATTACAATTCAAATCCGTCCACCGAGTCGTACGGCAAACCGAAGGACTTAATGTGCCAGTATATATACTATATTAATATCGACATAAAAACCGTTCCAGTTTCGTCGAAGTTAAGTTTAATTTAGAAATTTACGTCAGCTGTTAATGTTATTGTAGTGGATAACGTGCAGTGCAGTATCATGAATAATCAACTAACCAAGGCCGCATTTTCATACAAATAGTGTATATTATTTTAACCATAGCCATATTGTATATAGTGTATAAAGTTATTATTTAATTTATTGTAAGTTTATTATTATAAAACTTCCGTTTACACTTGGTGTGCGGTGCGAGTATATTCTAGTCATTTTCCCCTGTATACTGCATAATCTACCTTATACTTATAAATATTATACATATTTATGTATATATAGGTACATCGTATAATTTCCTTTGTACATTTTTGTATCATATAAGCCATATTTATATTTTAATCAGCAACCAATATTGAAATTGTTTTGCTTTAAGCCTTGTCAAAAATACACATTACAGTCTAGTCAAATATGTATAACGTGTAACAGTCTAGTCACTTAGTTTTATAAGGTGTAGAAATTTAGTCGTCAGTTGAAACAAAGTTTAGTTGAGTATAGAGGTTAGCATCTAGTCAAAATCTAGTCTTTTTAAACTTAGTCGCAAAGAACCCAAATCTAGTCAATACTTATAGTCGAATCAATCTCAGAACAGAAATCTAATCAAAATCTAGTCCTCAGTTGAAACAAATTCAAGTCGAATATAAAGTATAAATCTAGTCAGCATTTACAGTAAAGTCTATCTTAGAATAGAAATCTAGTCAAAATCTAGTCCTCAGTTTAATCAATTTTTAGTCGAGTATAGAATATATATCTAGTCAACATTTACAGTCAAATTTATCTCAGGATAGAAATCTAGTCCTCAGCTTAAACAAAGTCTAGTCGAGTATAGAGTATAAATCCAATCAAAATCTAGTCTTCTTATATAAAGTCGCAAAGAACCCAAATCTATTCAAAATTTCTAGTCTTCTAATTTTTTTACTTAATAAGTAAATAAGTCTTAATCTTAAGTCTTCTAAATCTAGTCTACTTAAACATAGTCACAAAGAACACGAATCTAGTCAAAATATACAGTCGATTCTATTTCAGAATAAAAATATAGCCAACGTTTAATCAACAGTACAATAATTTTGTTAATCTACAGTGTTAAAATAAAATCTAGTCAATCATACAGGATTCTACAGCGTTTAGTAAAATAAGAATTACAATCTAGTCAAATAAATACACTCTAATCGAAATCTTGTTTAATTTATAAATGTATAGATACAATTTATATATGTATTTAGGTATTTAACGGAAATTATAATTACCACCAATATCGCGTGATTTATATAGTGCATACTTCAATGCAGATGTTTAAATTCCAATAGGAACCTAGTGCGTAACTCACAGCTGTGGTCAATATGTATTTAAAAAAAAATTAATATATTTTAATTATAAAAATATACCTATCTAATATAATACCAATGCGTTTTCATTTACAACATAATATTTTATTTGATAATACGAAAAAAAAAATTATTATATATTATTGATTAATTTATAGCTATTATTATTATTATTATCATCATCATACATTTATTATTATAATTATATTCTTATTATAAGATATTAAATATGTAACAGAATTTTTATTATAAAAAACAAATTAATGTAGTCTATTAACAAATTTGTATAATATTTTATATTATATTGTTGCATAACTATTTTACTATTGTAATTCATTATTCAACCATTAATTAAATATTATATCTATATTTTATCATGTAATGTTACTCCAACATTAATCAATTATAAAAATACTATACAGTAAAAAGCGTAAACTAGCATTGAACTTATAGTATATGCATATGCTATTAAATTATTGTATTAATTAAGATACCGAAAAAGTTTATCGATTATCATCAAGTATTAATTGATATACCTATTAATTATTTATTATTATTCTACTTAATCATGAAGAGAATATTTTATTAATTTATATAAAATTATTATTTATACAACAATTTTTATTTCTATTTTATAACACGTTAACGCAAAGTTCTAAGTCATGTATTGTTAATTTTTTGCACAAATTATATCGTACCCTATACATAAGTAAAAATAAAAACCTTCATTATTGCTATGGAATTGTGATATCATTATTTTTTTATTATATTCAATGTATGTGGGTATATTTAAATATATACACAAAGAATGAGACTATGAGAAAATACTTAGTGGCGAATATCGATCAAAATAAGAGTAAAAGCTTACCAAATAAGAATATCATAAAAATCAAAAAAATTTATAACATGAATTTCTATAGTTGCTTTTGGTAACAATTGAAACAGCTATCTCATTTTTTTTTCTCAATTTATGAACTTCATTATTTTGTTATGTAGTTTTTAATTGTTCTATAGAAAAAATTGTACATGCCACACTGGAACGTGACCGAAAAAAAGTTTTTGAATACGGAACTCCTTTTTAATCATTGAGCTTACAACAAATTTGCGGTTTACATACTATTTTACGTTAGTAAATTAATCAATTAATTTTGTTTTTTTTATTTTTCTTCTAATCTATCCTTGATACAATTTTCTGGATCCTTCCTATTGGTAGATTCTTGGTTACGTCTCTGAATAACTACAGCTTTTACTGGTTCAACATAATAGTTATATTATTTCAATTATTAACACAGATTGTCGGAGTGAGGATTCTCAAATAGTTGTGTACAGGTGCATATCTATGTATAAATAACATTAAACTTTGGCTGATGAACATTTTAAAGTTTATTTATATGTAAACTGGAATTAAAAAAAATTAACAACTAAATTTTCTATTTTTTAGATTTACAATAAGTAAATAATTGCTATAATAGAAAAATTATAATATTATTCGAATCAATATTTAGAAAAAGAGTCAAGCTTTTTACAAACTCATTGAAATGAATTTTCAAGTTTAAAAAAATTGAGCGATAATTTAACCGTGCCAAGTAGCAAACATGGGAAGTCCATCAATGGCCAAAAGAGGATTAATTCCTAAAAATTAGTCACAAATAAAACCTATGTATATTGGAATCAAAGAGCAGTCATACGCGTCGATGAGGAACTCTCGGAGGAAGTATTAATTAAGCATGGAGTAAGACAGGGTTGCGTTTTATCATCGCTGTTATTTAATATATATTCGGAATTTATTTTCCGTGAAGCTCTAGAAGGAATTGAAGATGACATTAAGGTTAACGGGGAATGTTTAAATAACATTAGATACACTGACGATACGGTAATTTTTACAAATGACATTGTAGGATTACAATACTTAATGGACAGAGTAGTAGAAGTCAGCGAAAGACATGGCTTAATTCTAAATACCAAGAAAACAAAGTTCATGATAATATCAAAAAAATCATAACTTAGGACATTTAATAATTAAAAATAAACGTATAGAACAGGTACAACGATTTAAGTACCTCGGAACAACAATAAATGAAGATTGGGATCATTCATTACAAATAAAGTGTAGAATTAAAAGAATTAGGGAAGCATTTCGAAAAATGTCTTAAGTATTCAAGTGTCATGATCTATCTTTTGCTACAAAAATCAGACTGTTAAGGTATTATGTGTTCTCTGTATTAATACATGAAGTCGAAATCTGGACATTAACAGAGTTAACATTCAAAAAAATTGAAACCTTTGAAATGTGGTTGTATAGGTGAATGCTAAAAATCTCATAGACAGATCGAATTACTAACCAAATGGTACTGGAAAGGATGGGTAAACAGAAGGAACTGTTAACTACAATAAAAGCCCGGAAGCTGGAATACATTGGACATATTATAAGAAATAATCAACAATACAATATACCTACTACAACTTATATTACAAGGAAAGATTGAAGGAAAAAGAAGTGTAGGAAGAAGACGTATATCTTGGCTGAAGAATCTCCGTGACTGGTACAATACATCAATAGATTTATTTCGGGCATCACTTGACAGGAATAGCATACTTAGCTAATATGATATCCAACATCTGGAACGAATAGGAACTCATAGAAAAAGAAAACCTATGATTGCTCATAGACTGTTTTAAAAGTAATTCCTAAAAACTCAAAACTTATAAAACAGGAATAACAATTTTAAATTTAACGTACCATAACTATTGATTTCGTTTCTATTATTGAAAAATTTTTAATAAATAACTTAAATATTTAAATACGAGTATGTTTTTACGAATTTGTAGTGTTATTATTTCTGTATATTACATATACGATACGTACATTAATATTCATTAAAAATATTCATATGGCGTGTTAATGATGTTAATGATTAAAGTTTATTCATGCCTAGATTATTGTAACTAATATGAATGTATTGAAGTGTCGTTTTCCTCAAGGTGAACTGTTGGAACCCTATTAAAGAAACAGTTTCATTAACATTACATCTAATTTTAAATCACCGTTTTAATCATTTATACTACAATAAGACTAAATTAACATTGCAGTTTTTTAAAATTATTAAAATATTTCACGAAAAATATCAAAGAAAGGAAATTATTTAGTATCAAAGAATTAATTTGACATAATTAAATTAATAAAACACCATGTGTAGCAAGGTTGTATAAAAAATTCTACTTTTGGTCAATTTCGTCATACAAATTAAAAAAATTAACTAATTCTATAATGATGCAAACTAGTTAATTTTAAATAATGTACTAGAAAAAATTGTTTTGATTTCGTCCATCTAAACAATTACCAATACGGCATAAAAAGTTTATTAACCCTGCTTTAGATAAGACACTTTGAAATAAAATATGATTGAAAACCTTTTTTATAAAGCCTTTAAAGTTTAAACTAGTTTACATTTAATTTGTGAAAAAAGTACTTATATCACAGTATCTGATTAAAGAAGCTTATTACTCATCCATTAACAATACATTTAAAACAGTCAAGTTAATTTCCAATCACCTAATGATGTACCATTGTTAACAATATTGTAAAACTAATTTGTTTTATAAAAAGTATCTAATTTATATAATTATAATTAAAATTAATTCAAATCTGAAGAATATCAATAAATCTAATAAAAAAAAATAACCTTTTATAACAGTTAATTACCAAAATACCAAATGTACTTGGTTTTTTAGTAATTAGCTTTAGTATTTCAGTATTTTTTTAAATAATTAATCACTCTATGAACTACCACTAAACTCACAAATTGCATTTAAAAACAATTCATAGTAGCAAACAACAGTCTTCAAAAAAATAATCAGTACAGGTAGCAACTAAATAATGATAATAAAAATAAAAAGAGCATTTAATGTAATTTTTTAATAATATTATAATTTTATAATTACAATAATAATTATGATCCTAATGATATTAATAATATAGTAATATATAATAATTGTGTGTATTTTCCTCTTGTGTGTATATATGTATATATGTATATATGTATATATATATATATATATATATATATATATATATATATAT